GATGGGCTGCCCGCAGATGTTAAGAAAATGTTGTGATTACGTTCGTCAACGGCTGCGAATTTTGATGGACCGTGCGTTTCACAATTTTTTATGTTTTCTCTGCCAGAATTAGTTCCCATGCTTCCCTTTATATGTATAAAAGAAACAGTTCGTTTCCAAGAACGTAAAATTAAGAAGTAAAAGCTACACCTTTTAAGTTATACCCAAATCATCCAAACAATGGGCCAAGTATGCATAATCAAGATATGCAAGACAGAAAATAGAGAAAAATACTCTTAATATTTAAACATTCTAGTAAATAATAGTTACAAGTTTGAAAATTCTTCAGAAAGTGCACCAGATGTGAAAAATCCCAGAAATAAACCTTCTTTAGTGGATCAAAGAAGAATTCTGTTCAATATGTCGGGAAGATCGAATGCGACATAAATCGAGGCATGGTTATAAAATACAGAGGAGATAACGTTGTGATGAAGACAACAAGAACGAGGAAACCATTCTAAATGTTTATTGTATGATTTGCAGGCATCAATAGAAAGATACTTTTAGACAAATATCTGTCATTATTTATACTACCTATATTCAGGCTGTTGTCCTCAGTTTTGTTGATGTTATCACAACGCTCCGGTCGTTATGCCTTATGGCCTTTGATCAAGTTATCCTACGGGAAATTCCGAAGTGAACAATTTATTTAATCTACGAAGGGAGACTATTCTCATCCCGCTGTCCATATCTCGGGAAATCTCGTCAAGTTTTACAATTTGTTTTTTTTTTTTTAGTACTGCTCTGTTATTTCTCGACTCTTTTCCAGACTACATTAGTCTGAGGGTTAAAGCGTTGTTTCGTAAATTTGACGACATAGTGAATTCGAGTTCAATCCCTGGACCGGGATTCCGTAGAAAGGGGCGGGCAATAACTGTGCAGTTGTAAAAAAAAAAAAAAGAACTACACCCTTGTGCAAATTAATTGAAGCAAAACGAATAATTCCATTATTATTTACTTTGTTTCGTATTTTTCCAATGAAGCGTGACCCTTTGCACATGTTAGTACTTTGTATGTCCATTCCACACAGATTCTTGATTGGGTTTAAATTTGGAAAGTTTCCGTGCCTGTCTATACTTTGATTTGCTCACTGGTAAGGCTTGCCAGTGTGTTCGGGCAGCGTTACAATTTTCGTACGCTTTTTTGGAGTACCATCCATCGCAGACAATGATCGTAGGACAACTAATCGACAGTCTAGACAATAGCGTCTGGGCGTGATTTAAATCTGATGCAATAATGGATGACACAGTATTTTTCAAGGTCAAAGAAATTTCATCATACAACCCGAAAATATATTCATATTACTGCATACCACTGTAGATGACCTAAATTGAGTAAAAATTAGGAATCGATTATACACATACACTCCAGATAGTCTAAAACTGACTGTATACTGAAAGAAAGAAAACTAAAACAGTTGTTTCAATTAATTTGCACAAGGGTGTAAACGAGATATTCCGAGATATGAGCAGTGGAACGAGAACAATCTTCCTTCATAAATTAAATAATATAAATGGTTTATTTTAAAATTCCCTGAAGATTGACTAGATCGCTTTATACCTGACGAAAACCGAAACGTTGCGATAACATCAATAAAGACGAGGATAATAACTGAAAGCCAAAAACCAACTAATCACCAGTAAGTTGAATACATCCAAATACAAACTCAAATAAATGTAGCATATTACAGAAACCACTTCACTTGAGGATTTTCAACAGCAACATGTATAGCACATTGAAATCGAAGAGATAATAATTAAAATGTTGTAACTCCAGACCTCCTCAAGCAGAAGGGTAGAACGGAATTCCCCATAGATAGCAGTAAAAGCGAAAAAAGTGGAATTGAAACACACACACACACACACACATACATTGTAACAGTAAAATTGTTCAATTGTTAGATTAAGCTTTGAACTGTTTTATCTTAGAAATAGTTAATGATATCATACTGGAATTCTCCGAGGGCTTTATAACACCTTTGGACTCCACTTTGACTAAGAAGAATAGATTTACATCTAAGTTGAAAAGATGATCCATCTTCCTTTTGTGACCTCCTTATACAATTTTCCTCTCTACTGTTTCCTTTCCTTTTTTTAAAACTTATTCACCATTAACTTGATGGATTTGAATGGATTTTGAAGGTGGAAGCGAGGGTATCAATATTCGTACCATTACTGAAGGCTTGAATGATCCTTTTTCTCTGAACATTGCTCAGTTAGGAAGACATAGTGGCCCCTAAAAAACGGTTTTAAATTTCTCTCTTTCTAGTTGAAAGTGTTTTTCTGTGATTCTTACGACAAATGGTGTCAAGTTTGCAAAACGTATTATCTGAAAACCTGGAAAAAATTAATTCAATTACTTTAGTATTTTTTTAGACATTAAACATTTTGTGGGATGGACAATTATAACATGATGTTACACGATTTGAACAATTTTGGTGTTATACCTGTTATATATGGGGGAGAAAATGTGCGTGTGTGTTTAGAGAGTAAAAGAGAGGGAACGCTTTGAGTTCCCTAACGCGAGAGTAGATGTTCTAATCCCACTGATTCCATCGGTCGATGTTCAAGTAATAAGTCTTTCGAATGCTGATTTTGAAGTCAAGCATCTAAACTTGAAAAATATCTACAAGAAAATGTTTTCCACTAATTTTAACATCTATACATGAATTTTAGTCTGTACACACACACACATAGATACATACATATATATATATATATATATATATATATATATATATATATATAAAAATAATCATACATAGAATCAATCAACAATATTAATGCGATTAATGGCTGATTGATTCTATGTATGATTATTTCTTTATATATAAAATATATACTGCCTAATATATATATATATATATATATATATATATATATATAAGTATAATATGTATGCATATATAAATATATATGTGTGTGTGTGTGCGTGTGTGTGTGCGTATATATTTCTATATATATTATCTATCTATCTATATATATATACATATATATATATATATATTTTATGTTTAACGTTGTATATATATATAAAAGTGCGCAGGTATGCATAAAATAGAAAAGAACACGTTGGGTGCAGAATCCGGAGTTCCTTAACTCAATTTTAAGATGTTTTTGTTAAAGATCTCGCTAAGTTTGCTATTAGTGGGAAAGTGCTTTTCAATTAAATCTAGAAACTTATGGCCTAGATTGGTACTGACCATTTGGTTGTACGGGGGGATATACTTTCTTTTTCCTGTTTTTCTTATTATTGGTACTATCGTTTCTATAGGGTTCTATTGAGTTTCAGCTGCACTGAAAATCTAGAAATAATCATAAAAAGACATAATAAGAAAATCCTAGAAATATACACATGCCAAAACAGTAATAAAACTCATAAACTAAAATTAGATAAAAATAACGAAAAATTATGTGATTGTAGAAACCCTAAAGACTGTCTGTTGGAAAATAAATGCCTCACAAAATCCGTGGTATACCAATGCACTATCTCATCCATTGAGAGTCCTAACACTGATAGGATATACATAGGGTCAATGAAGAACAAATTTAAAATTAGATGGAGACAACACAAGAGCTCCTTAAGCAATATTCAAAATAGAAATCAGACATCTCTATCCCAATATTTCTGGCATCTAAAAGAAACGGATAAAACACCAAAAGTAAAATGGAAAATAATAAATAGAACAAGAACTTGTAAAACCTAGGATGACCGATGCCCTCTATGCCTACACGAAAAACTACACATCATTAAGTTTCTAAATCATGAAAAATTATTAACCCATAGGCAGGAGTTAACGGTTTTTTGCCGACATCAACAAATTTTCGCATTAAATAATTAGCATAAAAAAATCCCATAGTTTAATAGTCTTAAAAGCTTAGCCAAATCATTAAATAGGAAAAACCCTTTCTGTAGTCGTCAAAAAACAAATTGAAATTCAGTGTAATTCGGTTTATATATAAAACACCCACTTGAATAAACAAATTAATAAAGAGATAATCAGATAGACAATAATAAAACAAAATCCTCCCGACACATAACGACTTGTAGACGCGCCATAAATATATCCCTAACTGGGAACTAACTAGAGGATGACGGGAACATTAGCCTTGAAATATATATCCTGGCCAACCTGAGCAAAACCTCTCAGAAGATGATGAATCTATAGATAAGAATTAACTCTTTGACCACTTAACGAAAATAACTCGCCTAGCCACTTCCACAATAACGAATGTTATAACGAACCATGCCTAAAAACACACGTAAACCAAGAGATAGCTTATTCCTAAAATTTCGCTTGAAGATGAAACGGGACTAAACACCTCAATTCAACTTAATTTTAATAATTATTTGGATGGTTTCGGCTCTCCTTTTTTTAAACATGAGAACTCTTATGTAGCGAAGGAATCATATTTTAAACAAAAATATTATAATATATTATATATATATATACATATATATATATATATATATATATATATATATACACATACATATATATATATATATATATATATATATATATATATATATGTACTTATTGGAAAGCACTCAATATCAGTGATAGAGCTAACATACTTATTTGTATTGATGGGACTTTTGTAACCCGGGGTTTCACGCCCTTGCGATCGTCAAACTCACATCAATACATCTATCTATCTATCTATCTATATATATATATATATATATATATATATAAATTTGTGTCCTTATCAAATTATATATATATATATATATATATATATATATATATATGTAATTTTCTGTCCTTGATAATCTGTACAACCTTACAATTACATATTTATTGGACCAAGCATCAAGACCAACACCATCCTTTTCATTCATTAGTCCCAATTTCCACCTATGGCACGTTGCCAACTAACCTATTTCCCGCCATTTATTATGATTGCGAGCAAGCGTCTTTCGTATCTTTCACTCATTAGTTGGTGACTAATAGAATTATGTTATCTATCTCTTTCTCCCTCCCTACTTCTCTCTCTCCCTCTCCCCTTCCTCTCTCTATATCCCTCCTTCCCTTTTCCCCCTCTCTTTTCCCATCCCTCTTCCTTCCCCTCCCTCCTCCTCTCTCTCAGGTCTTTCGCTTATTAGTCGCCATACCGTAAAGAAATAATTCGGCAAACTATTTCGCAGATCATTTAATATGTCCAATGTTTTTCTACTGAAGGCATCGAAGAGCAAAGAGAAATTAGTTACGTTTCTAAGACTTGTTATTTTCACTTTGTCTACCTTCTTGTGATCTGCGATGATCGGAATAGTACAGTTTTGTAATTTCTTTAAGTGAAACCAGAAATATCTACTTAAAAAGTATATAAGGCTTATCTTTATTTTAGTGTGGATTCTCACGTATTATTTGGATTTGTAGATATTTTAATTTCAGCATAACTACATGTTTCTTTAATCAGCCTACCAAAGGCTTTTTGGTGATTTACTGAAACTTTTTGGTCATTCTTAACCGGAATGGTAATGGTGACATTAACCTTTTCCATGCAGGAAACATCTGACAACCATAGATCGAACAGTCAGCGTTACTCTCCGTTGAAATATACAAAGGATTACGGCCATATTACGTCGAAACATCCTTTCTCATTCAATCACCGAAGTTAAGAAACGTCAAGCTACCTAGGTAGGTGACCGCTTCTGATTCTGTGAGCTTGGATGTGCGGATGGTGTAATGTTTATGTGATCGGAATTAGAAATCATTGTGCTGGGTTCCATTTCCAGGCGATATATTTTCTCTTCTATAAATCTCATAATCCACCTTTTGCCCCGTCACTAGCTGGGGGTTAATTAGTATGACTTGTATCAGTAAATCATTTTTATTTCTAAAAAATTATGAAAATATATTTCCTGATTTTAAATAACCTGCAAAAGTTTAATAAGCTGTAAAATCAGATAAAAATAAATTAAATATAGAATTTTCTTCTCTTAAAAGAGTTTTTCAGGAAAATAAATAAAGTGCAAACTTATAGCTCTTTCTAATATTGATGGACATTTCCTTCCAAACCTTTTGCATATGATACACTGGTACTCAAGATTATTATGAAGCCTATTTTAGACAAGTGAGTTATACATCTTTTGTTGTTTCTACTGTTGAAAGTCTTCAAGAAATGATTTGTTGGTAAGGGTCTTTCTGATTTAGCAAACCAGTTGATAGGGCCTAAAGTGGATTTTCTTCTTTAAGAATATATATATATATATATATATATATATATATATATATATATATATATATTCTTAAAGAAGAAAATCCAGATGTGTGTGTCTATGTGTGAGTGTGTGTGTGTCTGTGTCGCGTGTATCAGCAAAATTGTCCAAATCTTGATACAGTAAAATTGTGCAATTGTTAGATTAAGCTTTGTACCGTTGTAAATTAGAAATGATTAAAGATATCTTACTGGAATTCTCCGAGGGTTTTATAATACTTTTGGACTCTGTTTTGAACAATAAGACTATATCTAAATCTAATTAGATTTAATTTAGATATTGGACCTGGCACAAAATGATTTTAAACTACTCTCTTTCTAGCGGAATGACTCATAGGATTTTTCAGTGATTTTTTTAGGAAAAACGGTCTCAAGAGGACTAAACTTCTTATCTGAATATATATATATATATATATATATATATATATATATATATATATATATATATATATATATATACCGGGTGTAACGACAAAATTATTCAAACTGCGTAAGGCCAAAAATTATCCAATTGTTCAAACCGTCTTATCTTAAAAAGATTAAACATATCTTACTGGAATTCACTAATGTTGTATCTTAGTAATGACGTTTCTATAAAAACTATTAGACTCTACTTTGAACAATAAGAATATATTTAGCTATTTAATAATAACTTATTCACCATTTTCTTGATGGTTCTTGGATGGAATTTGAAGAGGGAAGCCAGAGTATGAATGTTCGTACCATTTCTGAATGCCCAAATGATCTTTTCCTCTCACCATTGCTCATTTGGAAGACATTAAAAATTTTAAAAAAGACTTTAAGTAATAAAGTATTTATTTGCTTGACAGCTTATTGAAGGTTCGCAACACAGGATAGAATAATTAAGAAACCCTCTGTTACAAGCTTTATATTTGGGATGTATAAAATCATTAATATACATTATCTAGTTTCCTAAAAGCCGCGTGTTCAATTCCTATAAGAATAAGAAACAGGATTACATCTACAGAGGTGAGGTGATAAATTTAATGAATGATCATAAGAATGAAATAAAATAGCGGAAAAACCAATCGCGTACCCGTTTGCATAAAAACGTAGAATGTGGTTTGCATGACACAAAACAAGAACTAGCGAGTGATCTACGACTCTGGACATCTAGTTATGGAGCAAAACGTTCTGGTCGCCAGCTACCACATACACTGACCAATTATGTTATGACAAAGAATACCACCCTAATGACATTCCGACCTTGATGAAGGACCGTGACGATTGGCGTGATGCGAATGTCTGAGCTAGCTCGACCCAATAATAGTTGTTTTGAAAGCATTTAATAAAAGTAGGGACATCAGGAAAAGCACGTTGCTGAAAGCGAAAACTGTTTAATGAATGTAGTTTTTAAATCATTTCACTCAAATCAAGCTGATAATTCCATTAAGTTGGAAGAGGTTTCTGAGAATGAAACAATATGAGAAAACGTTACTGAGAAGAAAGGACAATAAAAAAAGCGGCTTCCGGAAGATGGAAAGCGATGTATTATTTAAACATTTGAAGACAGTATTTGCGAAGAAACTATGAGAATAGAACTTACGGTTAAATCCAACTGTTCTCAAAGTAAAATGATACCAGATAAGGCGTTCGTCTGAGAAAACAAAGCATTAACTTAAAAACAAATTCAGAAATTGATAAATATGACTGCAAATTTGAATGCTGGGTATTATTCAAAGATTTCGAAAGTTCTCAACAAGGAGTAGAAAACAGAACAAGAGAATTCATAGTAGAAATTAAACGATAAAAATGGAAAATGGAGGGTAAATACAATAAAAAAATGATAACAGATGGAGCAAATGGTTGATTGTCTGGCATTCACCGTAGAAAAATAAACAGAAGATACGGAGACCAAATTGACAGATTTGCTTTTAAGGTATGATAGATATTATCACAGCCCTGTTGTCACAGAAGGATTTGGAAATTAATGTAGCCCTATATATTGAATAACCTCTGTTGCCTGGCAACATTTAACTTTTAAATCGCAGAGATACAGAAAGTAATTGGATGCAGCCGACAAAATCTACCATAGTGATATTTAGCTACACCCCACGAGGGTTACATATGGCACAAGGCCGGGTTTAACGGGGGATCTCTGAGCCCGTCGACTCGGCCAAAAATATTCCCTCTTTGAACGGCTTCAGGGACAGTCAACCAACCCGAACAAGACTCTGCCCTTCGACGGAGCCTTGTCCGGGTTCCTTTCCGCCCGAAGGCAGAGAGTTAGAATGTTAACCAAGTTAGTGGTAACATCCAGGTCTTGATAATGATTGAGTCGGTCTAAAGCACTTAGAAAATAGAGCAAAGCATAAATTCTTTTCAATATCATTGATCCTGACCTGGCATCACGGCTTCAGTCACTTTCTCACCGGCGTAACGTAGCTTCCCTCTGCCTTTACTAGAAATATTTTCATGGTATTTTTCTGAACATTATTCTACGGAATCTAGACTTTATCAATTTAAGAATAGTGCTAAATTGGCAGAAAAGTTTCATGATTTTGCAGTTGAAACGGCTAGATCTAACAGTTTCTTCTCTCGTACTTCTCGCTTGTGGAACTCTCTTCCGGTTCCTTGTTTTCCGGTCAAAATTGTTCTTAAAAGAAGAAATGAATCTCAATGGTTATAGTGTGTCGTGTTAAATCCTGACCTTTTATTGTTCTCCCTCTTTAATAATGTTATTCATTATCTCATTTTTTTTTTCACATTTAATAACCCCTTGCGCCTCAGTGGCTTTACTTGAGGAGAAATGATTAAAAGAATAGTTTATAAAAAAATCTTGATCTCGGCTTAAAACAAATTATTAGAAAATAGGACAAATACAATAAAAACCGAGGGAGAAAGACCTTGTCAGTTCAATTTAAGAACGTCATAACTCGCACTAATAATACTTAACAAGTCAAATGATGCTGAAACCTGCTTAACAAATGAAAATCAACCAAATCAAAAATAAAAACACGAGAATTTTTTTTCTCCATATCTCATACGCTGATGAAGCTTTAATACAAATGAAACATGTTAGGTTTTTATGGTTTGTGTTGGTTTGGTTTATTTCGTTTTATGGTATATCAACCTAAATGGGTGTTGTTTATCCTATCATACATGCATAAGTCAGCCACTATATATTTGCAATTGTCAGTCACTCTCTCTTAGTTTATTCAAATTTAGTTTCTTATATTTTCAACACATCACAATTTATATCTTTCTCTCTCATCACATGACTCTAAATACTTTTCTTTCTTTACCGTTAATCTGTTTATATTTCTTTCTTTACCGTTAATCTGTTTATATTTATCTGAAATGATTCTTGGTTGTTTTTATTTTTTAATCTTTAATCTTTAATCAGATATTTTTTCGTCTACTTTCTCACTTTTGACCTTCTCATATTTTCGGCAACTCCCTTTACCGAATTCAATGACAAAACGACGTTCTCGATCTGTTTTTACTGCTGATCAAAATTCTTTCATTTCACTACTTTATAATTGAAATCACATATCGGGCCAAATTTTCTCCCCAAATTCGTTTATGTTTCTTATCTACTAAATGATTCTTTCGCTATTCTCTTACATTTATCAAAATTTATAAATCTCTCTAACTTTTTTGTATATATATATATATATATATATATATGTATGTATGTATGTATGTATGTATGTATAATGTAAAGTCTATCCTGCACAGATAGCAAAACAAAAAAATCAAATCAAACAGGTATGTCTTCCGATATATATATATATATATATATATATATGATGATTAAAAAAGACAATAATAAAAACACAAGGAAACTTATATATATATATATATATATATATATATATATATATATATATATATATGTATATGTA